CAATAATCTGCAAGAGTAGTTCCGCGCCCTCCCTTAAGGAGTGTTGTACTCTTGTTGTCACCAAGGTCTTCATCCTGCTAAATGCCTTGACCTCTAAGGTTACATTTCAAGATACTTCATTTAAAATATTAACCATAGACAAAGAATTTGATTCCATTATCAAAACTCTAGCTTCAGCCACTACATTAGATGTGTTATGGATTCTTACTCCTTTAGCACCTGCAATGTCTCCATAAGAATTTCCTACACAAAAACTAATAGATCTAAGATCATGATTACCTTTTGATGCACCACCTCATGTTTGGGTAAACACATCTTATTTCAAGCATCCCAGTGTTTACTCTTTCCTGAAACTTTATTGCTCCTAAAGAATTTGACAAACATTTTGTAGAATACTAGTAATCAACACTTCTTTTCCCCATTAAATAACATATAAAGTACTTTCCATGTTTGGAGTTTGGATCTAACACAACATGTTTGCTTCATCCGGAGGGTAAGTTGGTCATTTAATGTATTTTATTGATGTAATGATTTGTATATCAAGTGGTATTTTTCCTAAGCTCCAGACTTTACGTCTTAATTAAGTATATCAACTTTCCTTACTTTGTCCCTTAGTACTTTTCTTTTGCTCTAATTTTTCCGTGAATCAATTGTATTTTAAGGTATTTTAGGTACATCATTGATCACTCCACAATTCTTGCAACTAGGGCCCTTCATTTCATTTTACATTTTCTAACACTTATTTTTCTTCTCAACAATTTTTTAAACTATACTTCCTTCATTTTCATTTCACTTGGTCCATATAATAGAAAAAGATGTTTCATTTAAGTTATACTTCTGGTTATAAAATTATGATTCACCTTTTATGTTTATAATATATTTTATTTTAATTAAAAAAATCTGTGTTTGATCGTGAAAATTTAAAATTTAATTTTACGTTATATTTCAATTTTGAAAAACAACTTATAACTTGTTTTCTCACTCACTTTTAAAATATCAATGTATTCAAATATGAATATTACCCACATATTATAAAATATATAACTAATTGCTATAAAAGTTAATGTTATTGAGCATGTGCAAAGCACGGGCTATCGTAACTAGTATATATACACACGAGTACACAAGTAGTCTTTGTAGACACTTGATTTTTTACCCTTTTCGAGTTTCAACCCATTCTTTAACATTAAATATTTAATTTAAATTTAATTTGTATTTCATTTTTAGTATATTTTACTCGAGAAAATTAAAAACCTCAAAAATAGTCTTTTTAAATAATACTTTTGATTTCGATTTTTAAAAATTACAAAAAATATGTTTATTTGATTTTTTTTTCCTTATATTTAATATTCAAGTAGTATTTTTATTGTTAGTTATTTTCAAAAAAATAAAAATAAAAATGATCGAACTCAATGACATCTTGTCACGTTGTAAATTTCATTTCAATTTTTATCAAAAGCATATTTCATAGGAGAGGAGAATATTTCATTCTTCCTCACCAAGCTTTTTGATCTTATCCAAAATTCATAAAGGCATCCAAAATATGAAAATATAGACACTAAACCCTACATCTAGTAGAAACTATAAATAGAAACCTATAAAACCTAGAAAAAAAGGGATGAGTCGTGACACCAAAATAAAAAAGAGAACCACCTTAAAACATTATTGTTGTTGTAGCTCTAAAATCAGTTAACTCTACCTTGTAAACTCTATCTTCTTCCCCATGATTTTTGATTCGTCGAGAGTTCAATATTTTTTATATTTGGTGTTTCAAAACACATCGTCTTAACATAAAGGTACAATTTTGACTTTGTTTATTTATTAATTTGTCTTCTACATTGTAATTTTTTGAAGTATGGATGAAATTTAATTTTTTATGTTACCACAATGAGTTTGATTATCACATATATCCTAGGAAGCATGTAAGAATTGATAGTTTAGTGAGTCAAGTTCTTATTTAACTTGCTTAGCAGCCAATTTTTTCATGCTTAGGATAAATGTGATAATCAGACTTCATCAATTTAACCATTTAAAATAAAATTGTATTCATACTTCAGATAATTACACAACATAAAGACCAATTAATCAACAAACAAAGTAAAAAAAATGAGTTTTCATGTCAAGACGACATCTTTCGAAACTCAAAAGAATAAAAATGAACCTTGAATTGAAACCCTAAAAAAACCGAAAACTATGGAGAAGAAGATGAAGTTTACATGATGGAGTCAACTAATTTTAAAATTGCAATAACAATGTTTTAAGGTGGTTCTATATTAGAGAAAAAATGAAATTTCGAATGGTTTTTCATGGAGTAGTAGAGAGTTTCTAGGTTCTATAGGTGTAGGGTTTGGTGTCTATATTTTGGAGTCTAATCGTCCTAATATGTCCTTATGAATTTTGGATAAAATTAAAAAGTTTAGGGAGAAAGAATAGAATATTCTCTTCCTTCCATGAAATTATGTTTTTATAAAAATTAGGATGAAATTTACCGCGTGACAACATGGCATTGAGTTCAATTTTTATTTTCATTTAAAATTACCAACAATAAAAATACTACTTGAATATTAAATATAAGAAAAATTCAAAGAAAAATATTTTTTCTAATTTTTCTTTTTACTTAAAAATCAAAAAATAAAAGTATTATCTAAAAACGAATATTTTAGTGGTTTTCAATTTTCTCCAGTAAAATCTACTAAAAATGAAATAATAATTAGATTTAAAATAGATATTTAAAGCTAAAACATGGGTTGAAACTCGAAAAGAGTCAAAAATCGTGTGGCTATAGTTTTTTGTTAAAGTAATTCTAGGTACAACAGAACTCTACTTATGCATAGCTTGTGCACTCCTAGTATGCTATAACTATGTAGAGTAACTACCATATTTGATCATTATCTGATCATGAGCATCATTATCTTTAATACTCTCCCTTTTTCTATCCGTATCGATTATCGAATTATCATAGTGATTTTTATTCTTATTTGTTGATTAAGATTATCCCATATGACTAATTATTGTGGTCAAGTTACTTGTATTCTTATTAGATTGTGTTAGGATATAGACATATCCCGCGTTGCGATTCGTACTCAATTATTCCTCCCACATCGATTGAGAATGTTTTGATTCCAGACTTTTGATATACCTCAAGCTTCGAAGAATTTTGTGTTCTGGATTATTCCAACAATTTTTACAACAAACCTTTGGTTATGTAAAATTGCTCATGCTACATGTAATTTTTTATCCGAATTATAAACTCTTTACTTATTGAAGTCCAATTAGAAAGTTAAATCTAACAAGACGCTCAATATCTATTTGATCGATTATTTAAGGGTTTTTTGCCTTTTTCTTTTTTGACCCATAAAAAGAAACTAATTACGGGCACCTACTAAGATTTACAAAATATGCACTGATTATTATACATATATTATGTATACCATATGTATATTATATGTATATTTTTTATATTTAATGTACAAAACATATATATTTGTTAGCTGTGTTTTCTAGGGTGTCCCAAAAAGGCAATTATCTTCCAAAGAAGAAAAAATCCTACTTTTCTGTTCTTTCAAAGGAGAACCAATACACATTACTCTTTAGAGTGACTCAAATCTTTAATCCACTGATAAATTAGATGCTCAACTACTAGAGCTAATCTCACTTGTTGGGTTCCTATTTGAAGTTCTACACTGATGTAGTGATGTGTATTATTTTCTATTATTTTTATGTTTGTTAATTATTATTTTTATATTCTTCTTATGTCCCTAACAATAATTAAGGAATAAGGACGTGCATAAACATATGTGCCACTCTTTGTAAATCAATTCTTTCGTTTGTTTCTTTTAATTTTTACTTATATCAAATTTACAATTGCACCCAATTCTAGCTTCAACAGGAATAATCCGAATTAATAAAAGATTCGAGCAGCGGCTCGTGATCTCTCCACCTTACGAAAATAAATATTCGGTGCAACCTTAAGAGTGAAATTTGGGAGAGTATGATGTATACGAAATTTTATTCTTATTTTGAAAAGATAGAGAGGTTGTTTTTGATAGGTCATTGGCTCAAATAAAGCATATAAAAAAATCAACTATGTAAAACAAACATAGCAGTAAGAAATTTATATCGAAAACAATGGAGAAAAGAACAGTAGCAACAACAAATAATATGATAACTGAAATCACGAAGACAATAAATTAAATTGAGGAATAAGATAGTAAAAGAGTACTCATAAAACTAATATTGATGAGGAAACTAATATGTCCTCACTAAATTGTAGATGTCTCAGGTGTTGTATAATCACCTCTATTTGGTACTTTTTCGGTCTACTTTTACCTCTCCTCATACCGACTAATATCTCATACCTCCTCAATGGTGCGTCTATGCATCTTCTTTTAACATGTTCGAACCATATCACAATCTCATCTCCCTCCTTTTGCTCACCACGGAAGTCACTCTTACCTTGTCGAAGATATCTTCATTTCTAATCATATCTCTCCTAATTAATATACCACACATTCATCACAAGTACATCCTCATTTTCGTTAGTTTTATCTTTTGGACATACATGTGATTTCTTGACTGGTCAACACTCCGTCCAATACAACATAGATGATTTACCATCACTTTATAAAACTTATGCTTGATGGCACATTCTCATCTTACAATATACTGAATGCAAGATTCTATTTCAGTCTCCCCGCTCTAATATTATATATAACATCCTCGTCAATCTCTTAATTTTCTTAAATTATTCACCAAATACTTGAAACTTCATCCTTTGAAAATGATTTGTGTATCAATCCTTGATTTCAAATCAGCCACATAAAATAATGTCACTGATCTATGTACCCTGTTTTAAAAATATAAGCTATTTCTTGTTATATTCAAACTCCTAATTTAAATATTCACTTGCGACCTATACAAATTCTTATTCTTGCCAATACATTTATTTAATTTGGACACAGAAATGTAGACCTCCTTTTAAATTATGAGAAGATCAGAACAATAAAAAGAGGAATTATTAGTTAGGGGTTATCCTCTTAACTTGTGATTACATAAAAACAAATTAAAGAAATGATGATGACGAAAATAATAACATGAGATATACTAGCAAACTAAAGCAAGTTGGACATAAACTTTAGTGGAAAAAATTAAATAAATTGGAAATAGCAAGACAATAAAATAGTAAATAAGAACATTTCAAGCATTTGGAAGCAATCTAAAACTTAGGACGTTTATTATCATGGCGATGAACTTGTGAAGCAAGAAGCTCGTCTAGAAGATTGTTATCCAAATACTCAAATTCAACCTTCTCTCCATGATCATGTCGATGATCAGAAGAAGCCGAAGCCGAAGCCGAAGCAGAAGCAGAAGAAGAGGACATGTTCATATTGTTCACCATTGTAGATGGCACGTTATAGTTTGGTCCAGGACCTAGAGGTACATTAGTATTATTATTGATATGATAATGTCCATCATTAGGGAAGTTGAGAATGGCTTGATGGCCCCTTAAAGAAAAGGCAGCTCTATCATAAGCTCTAGCCGCTTCTTCAGCTGTTTCAAACGTACCTAACCATAGACGTGCACCATTCCTATTAGGATCACGTATCTCCGCTGCATATTTTCCCCATGGTCTTCGTCGAATGCCTCGATATTTGTTCTCTCTTCTTCCTCTTTGATCTTCATTCTCCATCACCTTGGTCACCCTTCTATGTTTTTGTTAATATCTAGGGGATATAATATAACGTGCTAATGTGTGTGTGGATAAGTATATATGCATGGATATGACTATTATTTATTTTCAATAAATAGATAGATGTCGTAGTCATATTTGACCATTGACCAATTTTGACTTCTTCCACATAAAGGTTGGGGTTAGAGTCATGGGTGGCAACGAGGCTGATGGTGGCTTTCCTAAATTTACATGAAAGATTTGACTGGTCATAAAGCGGGTTTATATTTTGCGGGTAGCGAAATCAAATCTAAACCGTTTAAGTTTTGATAAGTTATTGATTCGTTCAATTTATTTTAACTTATTTAAACTTAGATTGATATGTAATTTAAAGTGACTCACATCATATTAGTCATAAATAAATTATAATTAGGTACTGAAAATTTAGGAAAAAACAAAGAAAGCAATTAAAATTTTGTAAAAAATGGATGGATTGAATTATGACCAGTTTTAATCCAAGCAGATTTTGATTGAATTGGATTGAATTTTGATCCATTTTGATCCGATCAAATTTGACCAAACCCGCCAATTGTCAACTCTAATACTTGAGATCAATTACCCCATAAACATTAAAGTTGAAGGGAAAATGTTTAGAATGTGTACTGCAAAAATTTAATTACTTTCCTCTATTCACTTTTATTTATCTATTATATTATAAATAATTTTTTATTTATTTATCTACTTTAGCACATTTTAAGATAAAGATTAAAAAAAGAAGAAGTTATGTTCACTTTTAACATTAAAAAATCATTTCCTCAAGTTCATTGAGATTATATACCAATTAATATATGTATTATGGTAAATCCAATAATGGCCTATAGACTAGTCGATGTTGCTTAAACGTCTCAATAAAAGAAGGATTTAATATTTAGTTATTACTTCATAAGGTTCTCTTTCACGTATACGGATATACATGTACCGGGTTGATTTGAATTCTCTATTATCAAATTGAATCAATTATATCAAAAAAAATTATATTTATAAATCAAATCAAATCAAATTTTTAAAAAAGTCAATTTTTTTCATTTTTATTCTCGAATTTTTCCATGTCTCGATATAAACATCTGACAACAATTTGTTTTATGTGAAATATATATAAACGTCATACTATTTTACACAATTATACTTATCCAGTTCAATAACAACATTATAATAAAGACAAAAAAACATATCATATATTGAGAGCTTCAACTTTCTAACTTGATAAACTTTGTATAAAAAAAAAAATTAATTAAAAATGAATAGATTTCTACATGGACAAAGGGAAACCTTATGGGATAGTGGTTTCATTGAAGTTAATATTTACAAAGTAAATTATAACTAATTTTTCGTTATTAATATAATAATAATAAATGAAAGTTCCAAGTTTGATGGTTGTCAAGGTCCAATTTGGTAGTCCGCCCAGTAGGATGATTGGCCCAATATTCTTTTCAGAGATTGAAGCCAATTAGTGTTCCAATAACAAATTATTTTGAAGAATATATGAAGCTTCCAAGAACCAACAATATACCTGTTTTAATTACTCAGATCTTAGTCATTAAGTATGTTTATTTTTAAGGTCAGAATCGTAATTAAGTGTGATTGTTTTTCTTGTTTTACAATCACTAATAAGTTTGAATATGTCCGAATGATTAAGAATTTGTACAAAGATGACATTTCATCGCTACTCTATCTACTTTCATCCACCATCTACAATCACCATTTCAACCCCAACTATCACCATCATCAATCACCACCACCTACTTTCCACAATCACCATCCTCTGCCCAATCACAACCACCAATACCGTCAATCACCAAAATCAATTATCATCACCATTAGCCACATTTGTATTTATCACCACTAATCATTATTACATCCACTAATCACTATTGATAATTACCAATTTACCATAATTAGTCAACACTATATACCGCTAACCGCCATCATCATTAATCGCCGTCTTTAGTTATCATTATCATTTCACTATGAATTATCAATTGTCACCAACAACAATTATGATTAATTACTACTATCAACCACAATTGTCTTATAAAATTTTACAATATTTTATTAATATATATTAGATCAATTTAGTATTATTTTTTATTTTTTTTATATATACAACTAGATGTTGAGAAAACAAATAGTCTAAACTATTTAGTATTCAGATCTTAATGCAATATCTTGATATTCAGATGTGTGTGTCTATTTCTATATTTGTTTATATCTTGTTGGAAGCTTGGAATGAAAATGACACAAACCTAACCTAAAAAATATATTTCTAAAAAACCATAGAGTGGTACAGTGTTATATAATAATTAAAACAAAATTTCAAATTTAAATTGATAACATTACAAATTTGAAAGATACAAACTTAAATGACTAATACATTATTGCAATAAACTTTGAACTTCAAAGTTCAACTTCTTGACTTTGTACCTTTTCACCAAGTGCCTAATTCATAAATTATGGCGGAATGACCTGGAAGACCCTTATACTTGACTCCATTTTTAAGTTAGACCCTTGTACTTACAATTTTTCCTACCGAACTCTTAAACTCACTGAAACACAATATTTTAAAACCAGAGTTCATCTTATGCTTACATATTGTACGAGGGTCCTAACTCAGCCACATAATTGAAATTTAACATGTTCTTTGGCTATCGCTCAAAATATGTCCACACCACACTTGATCTTGATCTTGATCTTTAAGGACGAGAAGGAGGAGGATTATCTATGAAACTTGAAACTTTGACGTAGAATAGCAAAGTAGCAAAATAGATAGAGCGAATTGTGTGAAAATCGAAAAAGAATGAAGTGATATTTATAATTTTAATACATGGCCAAAATCTAATTTAATAAATATATAGAGGTTAAAATAAAGTTCGCAATGACTAGTTTTTTAAATTGGAAATGACTAGTTATTAAAAACGATAAATTTGGCAATGACTAATTTTAAAATTTTCCAACGATCGAATCTATTAAATGTATATATTAATTGTATTATTAGATTATCTTTTTATATATACTAGTATTCGTGTCCGCGCATTGCGCGGATTAAATATTATAATTTTTAATTAAATGTGATATTAACTTATGCACGATTTAAAATATATTCCTGTTTTATTTAAATAAAGAATTTTAATTAGTTTTTAATTTTAAAATAGATCATTCAAATATTTAATTATTGATCTCTATCTTTATAAAAAAATTAAATTTTAAAAATGTTTATATCATGTTAATTTTAAGTAATTCTTTAACAAAAAAGATACTTTTAAATTTTTTGTTTTGAATTTAATATACTACCTATATATATATATTGTTAAACTGCTTTCACTTTCATGTTAATTACAATAAATATTTTAAATTTATGTTTTGTTTTTTTGTAATTAATCATTAAATAAAATTACATATTACATAATTAATTTAGAATGTAGAAAAACTCAAAAAAATATGCTACAATGCAACTGTTGATAAATTGTTTAAATTAATGGATTTTTCAAAAATAATTTGTATATATTGGTTGTGATTTATGTCCCTTGAAATAGTTTAAAAGTTCAACTGATAATAAAAGGTATTTCAATTCATTACTAATAGGATTGTAAGTTGTAACAATTAGAGAAGAAAAAAAAAAATTTAATCACGACAAAAATTGACCTTATTTTTCTACTATATTATAAAAGAGAGTTTAGGGCCAAGTATAATATATAATATTCAAGATTGGGACTTTTCCCAATCTTGAATATTATATATTACATTATTATATAGTAGAACTTGGCATAACTCCTTTAAATAATATAGAATATGTATATATATATATATCTCACAAAATGGAAAAGTCCCAATCTTGAATATTATATATTACATTATTATATAGTAGAACTTGGGCATAAACTCCCTTTTAAAATAATATAGAATATGTATATATATATATATATATCACAAAATGGAAAAGTCCCAATCAAGGAAGCAACATATATCATTTACAAATGACTTAAAAAGCTTTAAAAATTACAATAATTACTAATTTAAAATATTTAAAAGTTATATAATAACATAGGTTGACTCTCAGAATTCTATCAGGCTCACATATATTGGGACCATAAAAATAACACATCTCATTTTAATATTACCAAAAAAGTATTATAAATAATAATAATTAACAACTTAAAATATATTAAAGACATTTTAAAAGGGTTAATTTTGTAAGTTACCTATTTCAAAAAAAATTTTGTAATTTTATCCATATCACATAAATTAGGACAAAGTGACCAGTAATGTACATTATTTCAAAGTTACATAAAAATATTATAAATCACAATAATTAATAACTTCAAACATTTAAAAAAAAAATGAAAATTTGGATGACTCTCCAAATTTCATTTGTGTCACATAAATTGAGACAACAAAAATAACATATATTGGGTCCATTTTAATTTATTTGTCTTATTTATATTATTTTTTATATTTAAAAAATGTGTAAAAATACTATAAATCATGATAATTGACAACATAAAATATTTCAAAAATGTTGTATGTGGGTAGTCTAATTATGCCTTAAATAGCGTCAAAGAAAGTACAGGTTTGTGATAAAAAAACTTATTCCTTTATCCAAGCAAATAATCGCTTCAAAAACTCGATTATTAGCCCCAAAATATACCATTTATATTATTGGGCCCGTGCATAGCACGGGCAACATTATCTAGTACTTACTATTAAAAGGGAGTAAAAAAAAACATGTTACTAACTTGCTATTTTGTATAACCATATTTAGTGAGTTTGCAAATAGATTTTAATTTTTAAAGAAATTTTGATACTTTTTTTTTTTTTTATTTAATCAGTTTTTAGAATTTGTGTATAAGTGGAAATGTAATGGGATGTTTAAAACTCGCTATTTAGATTTTAATTATAATTAAAAATTTAATTTTTGAAATAAAATGGTAATATTTAAAATTTAAATTTTAAAACAGGTCAATCAATTTTTTTAAAAGTTTAAATTTTTATCTTTAAATTTCAAATTTCAATTT